ACACACCCCCATAGTCTAGGTGATGATAGACCTATAGAAAGCAAGAACAAACAAGGGTCACAAGATCAGTCCACAAGAACTAAACAAATCTCAGGGTGGATCTCAAGATCACCACGCAGAGATGCACGAGTACAAAGACATGTCAAACTAACGAACGAGAATGAATGAATTGAACAAAAGTTGGGTACAAGTACTAACCCTAATTGGGTTGTACCCCTTATGGGCTACCCCACTATAGCCTACACAAATGTAAGCACTATAACATTCTGACACACCCCCATAGGCAAAGTGGGGGAGAACAAGTGGTCACAAGACCAGTCAAGAAAGCAAAGCAAGCTCAGGGTGGATCACAAAGTCACCACACAGTCTGAGCACAAGAAAAGGGCCATAAGGCCAGTTCACATGTAGAGTTATATAAAAGAGAACAAACAATACAGTTATCATACCCTAGAAAGTGTAAGCATGCAGGTATATATATAGATCATCGTATAAGCAGAGCCAAGCGGTGAGCAAGTGAGGCAAAGTAGGCACGAGGCCTAACACAGTAGAGAAGCGCTGATGATCACCAGGCGGAAGTGCCTTGGTGAATATATCAGCAGTGTTGGCCCTAGTGGCCACGTACGCAAGACAAAGCTGGCCACGCTGCTGCAACTCTTGAGCAAGGAAGTATCGCAGAGCGATATGCTTCGTTCTGTGCTCCAGTCTGTGCTCCTAACGCAAGGCAATCATGGCCTTGTTGTCTACGTACAGAACTGGAGGCAAACGAGGCTGCTCTCCCAAATTAGTCAGCAGGTAGGTGAGCCAGCGTAGCTCCTGTGCAGCCATGGCCCCTGCGTAGATCTCAGCCTCACAATTGGAGCTGAGTACCGAAGACGAGCGGGTAGACCGCCAGGAAACTGAGCCGGAACCGAGGCTGAAGGTGTAACCCTGTGACGATCGCTGCGTAGCTGAGTCGTCAACCCAAGACGCGTTTGCGTGACCAGTGAGGACAATTGGACCCCGTCCTCCAAGCACGAGCCCCATGCCCGACGTTTTGCACAAGTAACGCAATACCCTTTTCGCAGCATCCCAGTGCACCTTTCGGTGCCTATTGGGAGCCACGTAGCGAGCCAGGAGGCTGAGAGGGTATGCGAGGTCAGGTCGTGTGCACGTCATCAGGTACATGAGGCAACCCACAAGCTCTGGGTACAGACCACTCGGCTCTACGGACTCATCCAAAGGTGGAGCTAAGAGCGAGTGGCCGGTAGACAGAGGAGTGGGCTGTGGCGAGGAGAACTGGAAGCCGAAGCGATGACGGACCTGGTGCACCATGTGTGACTGAGTCAGGGTGATGGTGCGCCGTGCTCTGTCCCGGGTGATCTGCATGCCAAGATAGCTGCGCAGTTCACCCAGGTCAGTGCAGGTGTGTCTCTTATGCAGCTCCGACTTCACAAGGGTCAGTGCCTCAGTGTTAGCAGTGGCAAAGACGAGGTTGTCGACGTACACGAGGATGTAGAACGGCGGCAGCGAGGTGTCGGTGCATAGAAACAGCGACGGGTCGGCAGTAGAAGGAGCAAACCCAAGGGCTGCAAGTGTAATCCTCAGTGTCGTGCCACTCGCAAGGCACCTGGCAGAGACCGTAGACTGGCAGCCGGAGGCTCCACTGGGTACCTGCAGGAAACGACCCAGTGAAGCCAGGTGGGTGCCGCAGCCAGATTTCCTCGTGCAGGCTGCCCTGCAAGAAAGCTGTGCTGAAGTCAAGAGAGTGCAACTCGTAGTCACGCTGAGTAGCGACGTGCAGCAATACCCGAAGAGTAGTCATCTTCGGGGTGGGAGAGAAGGCCTGGAAGAAGTCGACCCCCTGTCGCTGACTGAAGCCTCTAGCAACGTAACGCGCCTTCAAGGCAGGCGGAGAACCCGGCGGCCGCATCACCCTGAAAATCCACATGCCATCGACTATGTTCGCCCGAGACGGGGGAATTGCGTCGACGTAGGTGCCTGTGGACTTCCAGGATGCCATCTCGGCATCCATGGCTGCCTGCCACTGAGAGGAGTAGGAACCCGTAATCGCCTCTGCGTAAGAGCGCGGGGTCGGGATGTCTGGTGCATCCGGGTCTCCCTCTGGGGCAAGCAGCATGTGAGCGAAACGAGGTACAGAAGCTGCAAGACACTCAAAGTCCTCCTGCCTGTCCTCAAGGACGTCCGTGCCAAGAGCACACTCACCCCCGACGGACGGAGGACTTGCAGACTCAGACTCAGCAACAATTGCAGTGGCGTAGTCTAGACAACAGGCAGCAGCTAAGTCAAGCAGCTCAGGAACGAGGGCAGACGCAGCAGTGGACTCAAAAGAAGGGTCAGTGACAACAGTGGCAAGGAGACGAGAGACAGTGGGACTGGCAGCACGAGCAAGGTCAGACTCAGGGTCAGGGACGGCAGGAAGAGAGGACTCAGGAGGAGGGGCAAAGGAACATGCAGTGGAACAGAGGAAGGACCAAGTGCCATAGCGTGGGTGCCGGGGACAGGAGGAGGACATGCTCTGATACCATGTCAGAATCCCAGTCACTAGACCACCCGGATAAGAGGCGTTTTTAAGTAGCGGTTCAGTGCGCCCATGACCCCCCAGGCCAACATGGTTGTAACCCTTCCTTAGGATCAATCGGGGATCACCAGTGGACCTCTGACACCCCCCCGCACTGGGATGCCCGAAGTGCACAGAATGGGATTCGAACTCGAGACCTTCGCTCTGATACCACGTCAAACTAACGAACGAGAATGAATGCATTGAACAGAAGTTGGGTACAAGTACTAACCCTATTTGGGTTGTACCCCTTATGGGCTACCCCACTATAGCCTACACAAATGTAAGCACTATAACATTCTGACAAGACAAGCAAGACAAAGGATCTCTATATAAGCAAGTGAGGACTGGCAGACATAAGGCCTAGATGGGTGCAGAAACATTGGTGGTCACAAGGCGGCAACGCCTTGGTGAAGATATCCGCAATGTTGGCCTCAGAGACCACACGAACGTTGCGAGCCTGGCCACACTGCTGTAAATCACGCAGAAAGAAGTAACGAAACAGCTCCGGTCCCGAGGCTGAAGCAGTAGCCCTGTGAAGATCTGTACTTCTGACCACAATCCGCGTACGACGATTCTAAGAAATCTATGTGTGTAACTGGCTGCTTCCCTCCAAGGACAAGTCCCATGCCTGATGTGCTCGCCACATAATTCGCCACGCTCCTAGCAGCCAACCAGTGAGAAGGTCGGTGTCTCCAAGGAGCAACAAAGCATGCAAGGACGCTGAGAGGGAAAGCCATGTCTGAGCGAGTAGAAGTCATCAGGTACATGAGACAACCCAACAACTCAGGATATGGACCACTGGACCCAAATGACTCGTCTGAAGGTGGAGCCTTGAGCCCATCGTTCACACTAAGAGGGGTGAGCTGCACCTTGGAAAATGCGAAGCAAAACTACGTGAGGATCTGCTCGACCATATGCGACTGCATCAGCGTAATGGTGCGAGCTGCCCTGTCTCTAGTGATCTCCAGGCCAAGGTAGTGCTGCAGCTCACCAAGGTTAGTGCACGTATGTCTCCTCTGCAGTTCCTCCTTCATAGAGGCCAGTGCGAATCGGTCAGGAGTGGCAAAGACCAGGTCGTTAACGTAAATCAGAACAAAGAATGGGGTCGAGCCACGGCGAACGAAAAGCGCCGGGTAAGCAGACGATGGAAAGAAACCAAGTGCTGCAAGAGTCGTGCGAAGTGTGTCATGCCACTCGTGAGGAGCCTGGCGCACGCCGTTGACCGGTCGACGCAGCTGCTACTGGGTCCCAAGGGGAAAAGAGTTAGTGAAGCCAGGCGGGCGACGCAGCCAGATCTGCTCGTGCAGGCTCTTCTGAAGGAATGCTGTGGAAAAGTCCAAGGAGTGCAACTCGTAGTTGCGCTGGGCTGTAATATGCAGCAACACCCAAAGAGTGGTCATCTTCGGGGTGGGAGCGAAGGTCTTGAAGAAGTTGACCCCCTCTCGCTAACTGAAGCCTCTCACCACGAAGCGCGCCTTGACCACCAGTGGTGATCCATGCGGCCACTTCAACTTATAAAGCCACCTGCCACCGACGACGTTCGTCCCAGGCAGCGGGACTGCGTCAACGTAGGTGCGTGTGGACCGATAAGATGCCATGCATGCCTCCTCAGCTGCTATCCATGTCAGAGGTGCACTGGAGTTCCCCGATTGATCCTAGGGAAGGGTTACAGGCACGTTGGCCTAGGGGGTTATGGGCGCACTCACCCGCTGCACAAACAAGCCCTTTTATCCCAGTGGTTACTGGCTGGGATTCTGACATGGTATAGAGCAATTCCTTCATAAGGACCGATTTTTATGGGCCCACCGCAAGCCTCTCGCCATGGCGCGCCACGTTGTGCAGCCCGTAGTGCTCCTCGTGAGGGCTTCCCCGCCTTCAGCTCGTCGCCCGCGCGATACCCGCTGCTGCAGCCCGCCGCCCGCGAGCTATCTACTTCTGCTGCGCGTCGCCTGTCTCGTCGTGTGGCCGCCCGTCGCCCGTTAACCCGCCGCCCCGCGTTCTGCCCGCACCCCTTCGTCCGCGCGTTACCTGCCTCACGCTCGCCGCCCGTCACTCGGACGCACCTCGCCTCCCGCTCATCCCCTCGTCGCGGCTGCTTGCGTGTGCAGCGACGGTCGTTGTGGGGGGGAAGATGGAAAAGGGAAGGGTGTGGCGGTGGACGGCCAGCAACGACCACCGAACCGCCAGCCGCCAACGACCAGCACCAGCAGTGACATCTGCGCCGACCAGCACCAGCCGCGATACTGACGCGTGCCAGCGCCAACCGCAACGCCAGCAGCACCTGCAACCCTTGTCGCCATCCCTGTTGCCTCCCATCGCCTCCCCTTTCCCCGCCGTGGCCCCTTCTCGTCACCCCCTGTCGCGGCTGTACCTGTGTGCAGCGACAGTCACTGTAGGGAAGGAGAGGGATGGGGGAAGGGCGTGGCGGGACCGCTAGCAGCTACAACGCCAGTGACACCGCCAGCAGAGACCCCGCCAGCAGCGCCACCGCCAGCAGCGACACCGCCAGCAGCGCCACCGCCAGCAGCGACACCGCCAGCAGAGACACCGCCAGCGCCAGCCGCCAGCGCCAACCGCCAGCCCTGCCGCCCATCCCTCTATCCTCCCCCCCTCCCCAGTCGCCTTCCCTTCCGCGACTATGGCTGTGCGGGGGGAGGTGGTGTGGAAGGGGGGTTTGGGGGTTAACCGTCGTGAGAAGGAGCAGAACTGCCGCCTCCTCTTCCTCTCGCTCACTCCCGCTTCTGCCGTGGGGGGGAGGGGGGGGCTAAGGGGGTGGCGGTAAGTATTATGCAGAGACTACTGTGGGTGGGGAAGGACCTGGAGGAAGGAAGGGGGGCAGGGGGTGCGGTCCCAGGGGGCGGCTGAAATGGGGGGTGAGGTTAAAGGGGGGTGGTTGAATGGGTGTGGGGATTCGGAGGTTAGTAAGAGGGGTTTCATCGCGCTTGGCTCCCCCCCACCTCCTCTCCTCATCACTCTCTCACCTCCCCCTTTCTAAAAGGGGGTTTGTTAGAGGGTTTCGCCACGGGTGGCTCGGATTCTGACATGCTATCAGAGCGAAGGTCTCGGGTTCCAATCCCAGTGTGCACTTCAGGCATCCCAGTGGTTACTGGCTGGGATTTTGACAATCCAGTACGGGGCCCAAGGTCTCGAGACCGCCTCCGTGTGAGTGCGAGGGATCGGGATGTCAAGGGCGTCTGGATCCCCCTCAGGGGCAAGCAGCATGGCGCAGAGATGGGGAACAACAGCCGCAAGGAACTCCAGCTCAAACTGCCTGTCCTCCAGAACCTCCAAGGAAAAGATCGGTGCACCCCAGTGGTCGGAGATCGGGCAGGTCCACTCACCAGGTAAGCGGCGTAGTTAAGGTGAAGGGACGAGGCAAAGGCACTGACAGTAGCTGCAAGAGCGGAGACAGACGACAGAGGAACGGACGGGTGCATGTCTGACGAGGACAAAATACGAGGGACGACACGATGAGCAGCACGGCCGGAGTCTGAGACGGGGTCTGGGAGAACAGGAAGGGACGACGCAGGAGGACTGGACACAGCAAGGGAGACGACTGTGGAGTGACGTGCAATACACCTGACGGGGCAGGACGTGAGGGAGGGAGGGCTATCGGGGGGACTAGGAGGGGGGGACCGAGGTGAGGAACAGCGAGAGGGGGGGGGGGGGGGGGGGGGAGGCCTCAGAAGCTCGGTGGGGACGACTCCGGTAGTAATAGTCCGACTCGTCGAAAGTTGTGTCCTCGGAACCGAAGAACTGGTAGGTGAGCGGGTCGTAGAACGCCCAGTCGGAGGCGTCCAGGGGGGAAGCCAAGAAAGACGCAGGTACGAGTGCGCGCAGACAACTTGTTCGCGCCAGGGACGCAAACGTGAGCCAAGGAGCCCCAGACTCGGAAGTCAGCTGCCACACCTCGAGACTCCGTCCAAAGGAAGACCGGCGTCACCCGTGGCCATGCGTCACTAGGCCACAGGTTCAGCTAGTGCGCGGCGTAGCGGACGGCCTGGGGCCACAGGAATCGGGGGGCCCCGGCATGGCACATGGAGGAATGAGCAACCTCCATGACCAGGCCGATGCGTCGCTCAGCTACCCCGTTTTGCTGTGGCGAGGCCGGTAGCGTGTAGGACTGGACGATCCCTTGGGCCCCGCAAAACGCCGACAGGCGAGTGGAGTCATACTCACCACCACGGTCGGAGTGTAGACGAAGTCCACGAAGGCCCTGGGCGCCACCCCTCGCTAGGAGCCACGGCTCTAGGACAGTAGGCACGTCGGCCTTCCGTCGCAAGGGAAACACCGTGGTGTAGCGGGAGAAGTCGTCCACCACAATCAGGAGCATTCCTGACGTGGGCGAAGGACCGGTGACGGGCCCCAGATGTCCAAGTGCAGGGTCTCTAAGGGAGCCATGGTGGGGAGAAACGAAGAGGTGTGAGGGGCAGCACGTTGCCGACCCTCGACGCAAGGAGTGCACGGCGGCGCATGCGAGCGGGGAAGTGGAGCGAGCGACTCTGGGAGACCTGAGACCAGATGGTGACGTACCATCCTACTGAGACGCGGGAGGGACGGGTGACCTAGATGGTGGTGTCAGAGGACCGACGGGTGGGTGAGTGATCGACAGTTGCAGCTACCTAACCTGACCTGTCCTGACCTGGACCAGTGTGGTGGGACCCCGTGTGTAGTGAGAAGTGGCCAGAGGTGCCCAAGTGATACTGTCTGAGTAGGAGGCAGCAGGCTCATCTAAAGGAAAGGTGGTGACTACTCCAAGGTCGTGAAGGTGGCTGACACCCACCAAGTTCATGGAGAACGAGGGGGTGTAGTAACCTGTAAGGACCCCAGAGGGAGCCGCCGGACATGGGAGAGTGTTGGTGAAGTGGGCAACCACCGGTCCTACTGAGGGGTCAGCCAAGGCGATAGTGACTGGAGTGTGCAGCGGCGTGAGGTCAGTGCAGTCGCGAAAGAAATAGCTGGACGCCCCAGAGTCGAGGGTGAAGGAAAACAGCGCAGTCGCTAAGGTCGTGCCCGAGCCAGCGACAAAGGCTGGGACAGGGCTGGCGGTAGCTGCTGCTTCTACACATAAAACCTCTGAGGCACCTAGGCTAGACACTACACACGCACCAAGAATGGAAACACAAGGTCCTACTCGTGCAGTCGGGAAATGTCCTGGACGAGGTAGGTGCAATGCAACTGGTCGAACAGAAACCCGGCGAAGAAGCAAGGGCCAGTGTGGTGGAATAGTGTCAGGACCAAAACGCCCACGGTGGAGGTCGTCGAGGCGACAGTAGCAGCGGGCCGCAGAGTGGTCAGGGTTCCAGCAGGTAGTGCCAGCACTAGGGCCAGTCAGGATCCGGTACCTGCAGGGACCGACGTCTCGCCCACTGCTAGCTGAGCCGCTAGTAGGGCCAGTATTCCTTGGACGCTCAGTTCCCCACTGCCGGGAATGCTGCAGCTGCTGTTGCTGCGGCTGACCCTGTTGTTGCAGAACTCGAGTAGATGCCATAGCAGGAGCTAGGGACGAGGGAGGGGTACGAGTACACGTAGCGATGGGGCCTGCTAGCTGGGGGCCGTGGGGCCTTCTAGCTGGGGGGGTAGCTGGTATGGGTGGGGTAGCGGGTGGGGCGGCTGGTTACGGGTGGGGCTGCGGCTAACTGGTGGGGCGGGTTTCAGCTTGAGAGGTGGCAAATTCCAGGTGGGGCGGCGGGTTTCAGGTCATGGGGCGGCAGGTTTCAGCTTGTGAGGGCGTCAGGGAACGGGTGGGGCGGCGGTTTCAGGTCGTGGGGAGGTTGCTAACGGGTGGGGAGGCGGGTTTGGCAGCGGGTGGGGCAGCGGGTGGGGCAGGTAACGGGCGAGGCAGCTCGTGGGGAGGCAAGTTTCAGGTGGGGCGGCTGCTAACGGGTGGGGCGGCGGCTTTGACAGCCGGTGGGGCAGGTAACGGGTGTGGCGGCTTGTGGGGAGGCGAGTTTCAGCGGATGGGGCGGCAGGTTTCAGATGGGGCGGCGGTTTCAGGTCAAGGGGCGGCAGTTTCAGGTCGAGGGGCGGCAGTTTCAGGTCGTCGGGTGGCGGGTTTCATGTGGGGCGGCGGTTTCAGGTCGTAGGACGGGGGGTTTCAGGTGGGGCGGCAGGTTTCAGCTCATGGGGCGGCGGGTTTCAGGTGGGGCAGCGGGTTTGAGCTCGTGAGAGCGTCGGGAACGGGTGGGGCGGTTGCTAATGGGTGGGGAGGCGGGCTTGACAGCGGGTGGGGCAGGTAACGAGTGAGGCCGCTAATGGAGAGGCTGGTTTCAGCGGGTGGGGCGGCAGGTTACAGGTGGGGCGGCGGTTTCAGGTCGTGGGGCGGCGGTTTCAGGTCGTGGGGTGGCGGGTTTCATGTGGGGCGGCGGTTTTAGGTCGTGGGGTGGCGGGTTTCAGGTGGGGCGGCGGTTTTAGGTGTGGGGCGGCGGGTTTCAGGTGTGGGGTGGCAGGTTCAGGTTTGAGGCTGCGATTTCAGGTGTGGGGCGGCGGGTTTCAGGTGTGGGGCGGCGGTTTCAGCTTGGGCGGCGGTTAAGGCAGCGGGCGACGGGTGTGGAAGGGCGCGGCTAACGGGCTGCACGTGCGTGCGGTCGCGACATACGTACGCGCGGCTGCACGTGCCGCTAAGGCTGTGCGTGCAGCTACTCGCGTGCGTCTGCTGTGCGCTAGCGGGCTGACGGGCAACGCACGGGGCAAAACGGGTGGGGTGCGGGGCAAATACGGGTGACGCGCGGGGCAAAACGGGTGGGGCACGGGGCAGAAACGAGTGACGCACGTGCTAGTGGGGTGACGGGGCGCTTCAAGCATTGGGGCACTACGGGCTAGGTCGGGGCACGGGGAGGTGGGCCCATCGGGATCTAGTAGCTCTATACCATGTCAAGTTACAAAACGGGTAGTGAACTGACTAAGAGTGAACAAAACATGAAAGATTTAGTCAAGGCTAACCCTAAACGTAGCACAAATGGAAAGCATTGGCAAGCTGGAAAGGCAAGGTGGTGAAGGCCGCCATGGACGAGGAGATCCGGAGCCTCATCGCCAACGGCACGTGGGAGCTTGTGGAGCGCCAGCGCAGCGTCAATGTCATGAAGAACCGCTGGGTGCTGATGACGAAGTACCACGTTGATGACACGGTCGCCCACGAAAAGGCCCGCCTGGTCGTGAAGGGCTTCACGCAGGTCTACGGCGCCGACTACGACGAGACGTGCATTTCGGTCGGGAGCTACGCCACACTGCGGATCTTCCTCAGCATCGTCGCCATCCTCGACCTGCACCTCATGCAGCTCGACATGTGTTATGTGATGCTATCATTTGCATTCACGTCTTTCTGCCTCCCATCTTATGTTCGTGCGTTGCATGCGTGGTGTGTGCAAGAATTTGTGTTTGGTGTGGTTTGGATTTTCTGAGTGTGTGAGAATATTATTTGGCTTGAGCAGATGTCTGAAGTGACACCTCTGCTCGAGAGCATTCCGACGAACCAATGATCGCTTCAATCAGAGCACGAACAAGAAAGTTACGAACGGTTGAAGTTCGTATGCTTCTTATATTTGGTTACAACAACTTTGGGAATTTGTTGGGTGACTCCATAAGGGGTACAGACTTTTGGGGGTTGGGAATGTTATGTGATGCTATCATTTACATTCACGTCTGTCTGCCTCCCATCATATGTTCGTGCGTTGCATGCGTGGTGTGTGCAAGAATATGTGTTTGGTGTGGTTTGGATTTTCTGTGTGTGTGTGTGTGTGAATGCTATTTGGCTTGAGCAGATATCTGAAGTGACTCCTCTGCTCGAGAGCTTCCCAACGAACCGAGAATCGCCGCGATCGGAGCAAGAACGAGAAAGTTATGATCGTTCGTAGTTATGGTTGTGGTGCGGTGACTATGGGAATTTATGGAGTGACTCCATATGGGGTATGTTAGAATATACTTATATATTCTCTATAACTCTCCGTAGTGTAGACTGTAGTGTATCTCACTTGCTGTAGGTGGTGTACCATGTGGCTTTCTCCTTGCTATATCTTGTACCTTGCTCAATAGTGAAACATCATCTTTCTCGATTTTCCTCTCACCTCAACTCTCTCGACACTCATGTCTAGCCTACCCTAGTATGGCTCCTATTTCCTACTAAGTTACTATTTTGACATGCTATCAGAGTAGGTCGCTTCTAGGACCTAATGTTCATGGGCCCACCACCTACTGCCCTGCTAGCCTAGGCCCCGGCCCGTCGCCCCTTGGCGTCGCCCCTAGCCCCTAGGCTCGGCCCCTTGGCCCCGTCGCCCCTAGACGCGGCGCCTAGGCCCCGTCGCCTCGGCCCCTTGGCCCCGTCGCCCCCAACCGCGGCCCCTCGCGACCCTAGGCCCGTCGCCCCGTCGCTTCGGCCCCTTGGCCTCGTCACCCCTAGCCGCGGCCCCTAGGCCCCGTCGCCCCCAGCTGCAGCCCCCTCGCGACCCTAGGCCCCGTCGCCTCGGCCCCGGTGCCCCGTCGCCCCTAGCCGTGGCCCCCAGGCCCCGTTGCCCCCCAACTGCGGCCCCTTGCGACCCTAGGCCTGTCGCCCCGTCGCCTTGGCCCCTTGGCCCCGTCACCCCTAGCCGCGGCCCCTAGGCCCCGTCGCCCCCAGCTGCGGCCCCTAGCGACCCTAGGCCCCGTCGCCCCTAGCCGCGGCCCTCGTCAACCTGTCGCCCCGTCGCCCCTAGCTATGGCCCCTCGCGACCTGCCGCCCCTAACCGCGGCCCCGTCACCTCTAACCTCGGCCCCTCACGACCTGTCGCCCCTAGCCGCGGCCCCGGTGCCCTGTCGCATCATGGAGGGTAAGGGGGTGGCAAGAGGGGGTTCTTCCTGCCCGCGTGCCCTGCAGTCGCACGCGCAGCTCCGCCCCCCGCCCCCTCCCCCCCCTCCCCCCCCTCCATGGGGACGGGGGGGAGAGGGTGTGAGGGGGTGGCGGATGTGCCTCAGCAGCAGCAGCTGCCGCCACGCCTCCTCCTCTCTCTCTCCCTGCCGCACCTTGTGTTGGGAGGGGGGGGGGAGCTTGGAGGTTCAGGGGGAGGCAGGAGGGGATCTGCAGCACCAGCCCCCCCCCGCCCCCCCTTTCTCCTCCATCCCTGGGGGGTGAAGGATTGTGGAGCAGCAGTGGGGGGGAGGGGATCTGCAGCACCAGCCCCCCCTGCCCCCCCCTTCTCCTACCTCCCCCTGCTGCGGGTGCAGCAGTGGGGGGGAGGGGATCTGCAGCACCAACCCCCCCCGTCCCCCCCCTTCTCCTTCATCCCTGGGGGGTGACGGATAGTGAAGCAGCAGTGGGGGGGAGGGGATCTGCAGCACCAGCCCCCCCCCCCCCCGCCCCCCCCTCCGCCCTTCTCCTCCATCCCCCTGCTGCGCGTGCAGCAGTGGGGGGGAGGGGATCTGCTGCACCAGCCCCCTCCGCCCCCCCCTTTTCTCCTCCATCCCCCTGCTGCGGCTGCAGCAGTGGGGGGGGGGGGGGGGTATGGGGGTGGCGGGATCTTGGAGGTTCAAGGGGTGGCAGGAAGGGATCTGTAGCACCAGCCCCCCCCCCGCCCCCCCCCCCCTCTTCTCCTCCATTCCCCTGCTGCGGGTGCAGCAGTTGGGGGGAGGGGATCTGCAGCACCAGCCCCCCCGCCCCCCCCCCCTCTTTTCTCCTCCCTCTCCCTGCTGCGGGTGCAGCAGTGGGGGGAGGGGATCTGCAGCCCTGCTGCCCTGCTGCCCTGTGCGCCCCGCGCGCCCTGCAGCCCTGCTGCGCCCCGCACGCCCTGCGCGCCCTGCTGTCCTGCTGCCCTGCGCGCCCTGCTGCCCGGCAGCCCTGTGCGCCCTGCTGCCCTGTGCGCCCCGCGCGCCCTGCAGCCCTGCTGCGCCCCGTGCGCCCTGCTGCCCTGCTGCCCTGTGCGCCCCGCGCGCCCTGCAGCCCTGCGCGCCCCGCGCGCCCTGCTGCCCTGCTGCCCTGTGCGCCCCGCGCGCCCCTGCTGCTGCCGCTACAGCCCTTGCTGCTGCCACTACAGCCCCTTGCTGCTGCCGCTACAGCCCTTCCTGTTGCCGCTACAGCCCTTGCTGCTGCCGCTACAGCCCTTGCTGCTGCCGCTACAGCCCCTGCTGCTGCCGCTACAGCCCTTGCTTCTGCCGCTACAGCCCTTGCTGCGGCCGCTACAGCCCTTGCTGTTGCTGCTACAGCCCTTGCTGCTACCGCTACAGCCCTTGCTGTTGCCGCTACAGCCCCTGCTGCTGCCGCTACAGCCCTTGCTGTTGCAGCTACAGCCCTTGCTGCTGCCGCTACAGCCCCTGCTGCGCCCCGCGCGCCCTGCTGCCCTGTGCGCCCCGCGCGCCCTGCGGCCCTGCGCGCCCCACGCGCCCTGCTGTCCTGCTGCCCTGCGTGCCCTGCGCGCCCGGCAGCCCTGCGCGCCTCGCGTGCCCTGCCTCCCTGCAGCCCTGTGCGCCCTGCTGCCCTGCAGCCCTGTGCGCCTCTGCTGCCCTACTGCCCTGTGCGCCCCGCGCGCCCTGCTGCTGCCGCTACAGTCCTTACTGCTGCTGTTACAGTCCTCGCTGCGGCTGCTACAGCCCTTCCTGCTGTCCTGCGCGCCCTGCGCGCCCTGCAGCCCTGCGCGCCTCGCACGCCCTGCTGTCTTGTGCGCCCCGTGCGCCCTGCTGCCCTCTGCACGCGCATCTGCAGCCCCATGCACAGCCCATACCCCCCCCCCCCCCCCCCCCCCCTCTCCCTGCTGCACGTGCAGCAGTTGGGGTTGGGGGGTGGGGAGGGGAGGGGAGGGTGTGAGAGGGAGGTTGCACCTACAGCGCCAACCTGCCTCCTCTCTCTCACAGCCGCACCTGCTTCTGTGGGGGGGAGTGTGAAGTGGTGGGGAGGCTCAGGGGATGTGGGTGGTGGGTGACAGAGCTGCAGCAACTCCCGCCACGCCTCCTCCTCTCTCTCCTCACTGCTGCTGCTACTGCTGTACGGGGGGAGGTTGAGGGGATGCTGTGAGTCCAGCTGCAGCATCAGCCGCCTCCTCCTTATTTGCCCTCTCCTTCTTCTGCTGCGCTTGGTGTACCCCTTCAGGGGGTGTTGTGCACAAGGTTCTTCACTACAGGCAGTTAGGGGGTGTGTTAGAATATACTTATATATTCTCTATAAGTGTCTGTAGTGTAGACTGTAGTGTATCTCACTTGCTGTAGGTGGTGTACCATGTGGTTTTCTCCTTGATATATCTTGTACCTTGCTCAATAGTGAAACATCATCTTTCTCGATTTTCCTCTCACCTCAACTCTCTCGACACTCATGTCTAGCCTACCCTAGTTTGGCTCCTATTTCCTACTAAGTTACTATTTTGACAGGGTATAGACTATTTGGGGTTGGGAAATTCGTCCCCATCACTGTAGATGATGCTTGGTGGTTGGGAGAAGCCAAACCAGGTTGGCAAGTGTGGCCAAGCTGGGTGAGGTGGATGGCATGGGTTGGGAAAGTGAAGAATGTCAAAGTTGGGGTGCCTATCGAGAGGAGAATTGTGTGGTATGGGGTTTTCCTTGGTTGGGGACTCCCTAGGGACCTTACCTCTCGTCCTCCTCATCCCCTTCTATCTGGTTCTTGCTACTCTAACTTTCTTGTGTGAACTTGTGAGACAATTGTGATTGAGTTAAGTTTCTATGGCAGCATAGTCCCTTGTGCGCCGAAATTCATAACTCGCGTTATACTCCATGTTTTGATACGATTCAAATTGGGAAAGATAGCCACGGTCAAGGGCTACATAAAAGTCGAGTTTGAGAACATTCTAACAGTGGACCTTCCGTCGACGACGTTTCTTGTGACGATGACTTTTCTGTCCAGAATTATAGTTGACGATTTTGAGATATTTCGGCCCTTAATCTTCATAGACTCCGTCCTTAGTCTCTAACAAGTGGTATCAGAGCTGATTAAGGACTTTGTGTAGAGTCTACTGAAGTGTGAAGACCCTCCTAGACCCAGTGGAGTTCTAGAGATTGGATGTGACTTCCGCTAAGGGGAAACTCTGCCGAAATTTCGTTGGCGCCGATACTTGTGGAAATTGTGTGGGACTTCGGTGTGGACAGCAAAGGGGGAGCTGGAACCTGTGTTTGGGAGCAGAGGAAATGAGTCAAGCGAGTGGAGATGAAGCTGAGAAGAGAAATGAGCCGCCACCATCCATGATCGAGGCATTGGATGGCTCCAACTATGAGGAATGGAGCGGGCGGATGCGGAGCGCATTCAAGCGCTACAAGCTGCTGAAACTTGCGATGGGTGAAGGGAAGATGCCGGAGGAAGGAGATGCTCACGATCGGTGGATTGAGAAGAGCACGGTGCTGTACGACCTAATCCTTCAATCGGTCAACAACGATATGTTCCAACACATCAAGGATTTGGTGGAGTTGGATGATTCCGGACCAAAGGCATGGAAGCTACTGCGCGACGTGATTCAGCCCAACACGCTGCCGATGGTGATTGCGTTGGAGAAGGAGCTGGCTGCCCTCTCCATGCGACCGGGCGATGATGTGAAGCCAGTCCTTGACAAGATCAAGGACACCTATGCGAGGATGGCAGCGGCGGGCAGCAATGTGTTGCAGATGCAGCAGTTCACTAAGATCATCTCGGTGCTCGACAACTCGTGGGACAACCTCATCCCCACCCTCAACACTCAGCAGGACCAGTGGACACCTGAGTGGCTACTTGAGCAGATTCTGCAGGAAGACTTCCGCAGGCGCCACACGGGTGGTGGTGCTGCCAACAAAACCGCTGAGGGGTATGGAGCTGCAGGAGGCAGCAGAGGAAGAGGGGGAGGGAGAGGTCGAGGCCGTGGGAGAGGCTTTGGCAGAGGGAGAGGCCGAGGTGACTACAAGGAGGGGCATGGGAGCTCTGGTGGCAAGGGGAGCACTCGAATGGAGGGTGCGTGCTGGTACTGCAAGAAGGCTGGACACCTGTGGTTCAAGTGTTTCAGCTGGCCTGAGGGATGGGCGCCTCCAGGCATGAAGTCGCCAAGTGGTGAACGTGCACGAGGTGGCGCTGTGCAAGGTTCAAGTGCACAAGGTGATGGTGCACAAGGTAAAGCCTACCCTGGGATGTTCCTCATGGTTGAGGATGTGAAAGGGAGTGAGGGTGATGTGGGCTCAGTTGGGAAGGTTGTGATGCACCCCCTCACTCACTGGGTGATAGATTCAGGTTGCACAAGTCCCATGACCCCACGGGCAGATTTGCTTGACGAGGTAAAGCTCCCTGGAAATATTAAGTTTGTGGCTGCCGCTTCAGGTGCTTTGCTCCCTGTGATTGGTGTTGGGAATGCCAAGGCGATGGGAGCCAATGAGGAGCTTGTGAGGCTGGGAAATGTGCTGCTAGTTGAAGGTTTGTCCGCTAACATTTTTTCTGTGCGCCGGCTGCAGAAGAGCAAGGCTAAAGTTACCTTCGGTCCAACCAGCTGCCGTGCAAAGCTTGGGAAATTGCTGCTGTGGGATTTGGAGGAGAAGAGCAGCTGCATCAAGGACCTATGGCAGCTGCCCATTATCCCTTGGAACGGGAAACTACCAGCAACGGCAGTGGCAGCAGCGACGGCTAAAGCAACTGCGGAAGGAGAGAAGACTGCACCAACTGATGGGGCCTTGGATGCAGTCAAGAAGGTGCAGCAGCAACAGCAACCACATGGTGAGGTGCTTGCTGGTGTGGATGCGACAGCTGCATGGGCAAAGGCTTCTGTTATAGTCACAATAGGCTTGAATGTGCCTAAAACGAAAGATAGAGTGCACAGACGGATTTCTGCACAGCGGCTTCAAACGTTGATAGCGTTCTGGTCACAGCTTGAAATGACCTGATTCAACTTGGATCTGGAGCGTCCTAACGTCGCCTAAAATAAGCAATTTAGATTGCACGATTTCATTCAGAATTGACAACACAGCGTTGGTTTGAACGAACGGTACTATGGCAGCCACTATAGTCTTAGAACACAAATTAGGAAGAGTTACGAGTTGGGAATGACTCCCAGCTCCTACAAACCCCAAGAGCGGAGTTACAGTGATGTGGAACAGTGCCACACTGTCCCCAACCACGAAGGGTCTCGAAACTACCCTCCACAAGGGCCTACACCAAGAGAAATTTTACACTACACAAAGAAATGCAACTATTCTCACTATCTTAAAGTTAACCCTTTTGGAGAGCTTCGAAATCACTTGAATCTTGAAACCAAGGCTCTGGCTCTTCAAGATAATTTTTTCCTTGAGTTCTTGGAATTCTGCTGCACACACCTGCGACACGCCGAACATTCCACACACGACAAAATAGAAAACCGCACACGACACGCAAACAACAACGTGACACGCGACTAGTGATAACTCGCTATTGACTCGACACACACATTCAAAACCAAGCCTCATCATTCGCACACTATTATAAGCATGAAATATATATTATCTCATGCCCTCATACCATTCCATGCACACACGCATGCACGCACACGGACAACAAGCCAAATGCAAACCGTAGGGTTGCACCAACAGCTTCATCTGGGAGTGGTGAGGCTGATTGGGAGACGTGGCACAAGAGGCTGTGTCATGTGAATTTTCCTATGCTGCAGAAGTTAGTGAAGGATGGGAGCTTGAAGGGGTTGGAGGTGAAGGGGGCAGCAAAGGAGATTGGGAGCTGCCCTACATGCCTTGAGACCAAGTTCACGAAGTTTCCCTTCAGCAGCGGCACGGGACCAGCCAAGGCCCCGCTCGCGCTTGTGCACATGGATGTGGTGGGCCCTACGAGGGCTCCTTCTTTCTTGGGCAGCCGCTACTTCTTAACCATTGTGGACGACCACACGCATGCTGTGTGGGTGTACCCTCTCAAGACTAAGGGGGAGGTGGCAGCAGCTGTTCTCAAGGAGTGGATGCCGAGAGCTCAAAGGGAGAGCGGACACAAGGTGAAGGTGATCCGCACCGACAACGTAGGAGAGTTCATTGGCAATGAGTTTGAGGCGGTGCTGAAGAAGAAGGGCATTCAGCATCAGCTCACAGTGCCCTACAACCCTCAGTAGAATGGCGTGGCTGAGTGGTTCAACCGGACCCTGCATGAAGGTGCTCGTACTCTCCTTGGGCGTGCAGGGCTGCCGGATCCGTTTTGGGAGACAGCACTGCGGCAGGTCGCTCTTGTGAAGAACTGGGTGCTGGCGACTGTGGGGGACAAGTAGTGGGTCCCCTACACCATGTGGTATGGGAGTGCACCAGCAGTCAACATGCTGAGAGCCTACGGCTGCATGGTGGTGTTTCATGTGCCTAAGCAGAAGAGAGGAAAGATGGAAGCTTCTGGGAGATGGGGTGTGCACTTGAGGATTGCCAAGGATCACAAGGGCTGGTTGGTGTGGGATTTGACCAGCCAAAAGCTGACTGTTTTGAGGGATGTGAAGTTCCTTGAGTCCTTGTACTACAAGGAGTGGAAGCAGCAGCAGCAGAAGCTTCCTACTACACCGCTGATCATTGAGGCCGATGAGGTGTAGCGGCCTTCGAGGCAAGTGCATGTTACTGTATGAGATGAGGAGATCTCTGGGGTGACAGAAGATCGGGGAGAACCTGATGCGGAGCAGCAGCAGCAACAGCAGCAGCAGCAGTAGCAAGATGCTCCACCATCTGCCGAACGTCTGCCTGACCGTCCTAGGAGGGATGTGCGCCCTCCTAACAGGCTGACCTATCCCAGTTTTGGCAAGC